CACTGCGGGGCTGCACACATCGCATGCAGTTCAGGTTTAAGAACTTTATATGATAAGTTTCGTCATTACTTTAATCTGATCATTAAAATACCACAATCGCCTCACAATGGCTGCAGGGCGATAAAACCTCCATATTGAACGTAGAGGGCAACTTGTAACCAAATCAGGGGCAACTGTGTGCGTAAATACATCGTCATTGCTAATAACACGTGCTGTCCAAGTCCAAGCACTTTATATTATCTTTATTTTTATTTGATAATTTAAATTCCTTAAACATCTTACAATTATTGCCAGTGAACTGACAAAACATACATATTAAATACTTGAAGCCATCTCACGAGTATCTTCATCCGTAAATACATCATCTGAATATTTCACCAACCTGATTTATTTTATAAATTTAAAAATACTACATCTAAATTTAAAAATGTTCTTAATATATTACAACTGTGTATTAACAATATATGATAACAATCCGGAAATTTTACCCCAATAAAAGGAAAATTATTTCCGTGAGTAGCAAAATTCAAATACGTCGGCTCGACAATTATCTCAATGAATGACCAATGGGCAGAAATAGACCAGCTTATAACTAGCTCAAACAGAACATTTTTCTCCCTTTCAAAGGTATTAAATTCCAAATTAAGGGTGTACAATGCTATGATAGAGCCAGTTCTATTATATGACTGTGAGACCTAGACAACCAGTACCCTAGAAAAACTGGTCAATCAATATCCCATGATATGAAGGCACGAAGGTTAAGATGGGCGGGGCATGTAGCTCGAAGCAATCCATCTGGAAGCCTCAACTTAATAATAAATGCTCCTGAACATTCGAGATTGAATTTTTAAAATACATGAATTAAAAAATTCTATTTTTTTTTTTTTTTTTTTTTTTTTATTTGTTTATTTAGAAATATTACATTCTGTCACATCAAGGACATTTATAATAGTGTTCAGAGAAAGCACACTCACACTCTATTTACAATAAAAAAAAAATAAAAAAAATAATACAGAAACTTAATAATAATAAATACAATGAATAAAATAAAAATAAATACAATAAAATAAAATAAATGTATATAAACAAAAGAACTAACCTAATCATACACACTCGGGCTTGAGTGGAGGATCTGGCCATTGCCAAAACTCCAATAGGTGCTTATTTACAAAAGGTCTCTGGGCCACTGCCGCTTCAACCTTCGAGGAGGATTGTAAGGATGGGTGGTGCTGGATAGAGATTGTGCAAGGGGATTTGGATGATAGGTAAGGTTCTGGTGAAATTTGGAGAATTTTTCTGGAATAAGGTCTAGGACAAATGGGATATTAAGGTCATGGTGTAGGATTTTGTTATTTACATAGAACGGAGCATCAACTATTGTTCGAAGGACTTTAGATTGAAAGGATTGAATACGTAAGAAATTCTATTAATACAATATAGAATATATAGAATACAAAAAAAGAAAATATTTTTTAAAGTCGTCCGTGGCTTTTCCCCCATACTATTGAATCGGTTCAATTTTTGGGACGGTAAGTCCTTTAGAAGTAAAGGATTGCTATCTTTACATTCTTCGGTTGAATTAATTCGTTGCTGTTTTTTATTCTATAAATTCTTAAACCAAACTTGCCGGAACCTACTGCCTTGCGCTAGTTGTGGAAAAACCCTAATGCCTTGCTTGCTATGTCTGTTGGCCTTGCCTCGACAGCAACATTCCAGGCTGTTCGGTCATTTCTTGACTGCCTGTCGCAATTGCTGAGTCACAAAAGACGACACTGTTCTCTGTATACTCAGCTAGGAAATTAACAAATCCATTCACAGAAAACGTTCACATCTGCCAAGGGGTGAGTGGTCTGTTAAGGAACTTATAACCTTATTGCAATCAGTTGCGATTTAGGCTGGAAATTTGAGTGTGAACATTTAATGTATTATTCCATTTTAATTTTATTTTATATACATAATATTTTTTAAAAGTTTAGAATACCCCAGTGAGAAATCTCACGTTAGATGGCTATTCTTGTTCCTAACATATTTGACCTATATACTTCAGCCATCATGTTTTTCCATACATACATACAATATAAGATAGTCTATTCAACAAACAGTTGGTGAAGCTTCGTAGCTTACTACCACTGTTAAAGTAACAATTTATTTAAACAAGAAGACACGTCTTACAACTTGTACTAATTCATTGTATTCACTGAAAATATATTTGTTAGGTGAAGACGAGCCTTGGCGTGTACAGGGTGTCTCAGTTCTTAATGGCAAAACTCTGGGAGGCGATTTTAGACAAAATTTTCAGCAAAAAAGTTCATTTGACGAATGGGCTAATTCCATACGCTAAAGGAGTTAAGATCAATTTTGTTTTCTTGGTAGACACGTTTTTTATTGAATAAGAAGAAATTGTTCAAAAACTGTTAAAGATAATTAAATTCCTGGGTGATAAATATTCAGGAGGCAGTCATCAAACATGTGGGTCATCATCAGGGCGTGGTTCGAGCACTGACGGCTTTTAAGTACTTACTTAAAAGGGGGGACTGGGTTCAGTACTTAAAAGCCTGACAAAAATAAATAATTTTTATAATGAATGCGTCCTGAATATTTATCACCTATATGATATGTAGAACAGTCGACTAGCTTCCTTTAATATAATTAAATTCCATGTACACCAAAGATAAAAGAGAAAAAAATGTCTTTGAGAAAACATTGATTAAATTTATTAAGGTCAATGATAAAAGGGTCTTGGAGCAGGTATAATAACGCAAAGCCTACCATAATGCCGAATTATTTCACGAATCGGGATTAGAGAGATGTGTTGCTCGTGTATAGGTACTGTAACTGCAGCTGTACAGCGGCCGTATTAAACCTCTTGAAAGTCTCTTTTATCATTGACCTTCTCATACTAGACTGAAACGACAAGAGACCGCTCGACTTTTCTGATTACTTCAGCACTTACTTGACAAACGCTCTAAACTTCCAATTAATTACAAAAGACTCATATACATGACTATAATAATTCCTATTTGGACTTACGGAGTTGAGCTATGGGGTTCCACTAAACCATCGACTTCCTCTCGTATCCAATTCCTATAATCCAAAATTCTTTGTACAATCCTTAATGCTCCCTACTTTGTTACAAATAAAACCATCCATAAGGACCTTAATGTTTCAGATCTGGCCCAATCCAGATACCTATCCTTCCATAATAAACTTCAGAATCATCCCAACCCTCTCGTTTCTAACCTTGCTTCCACTTCAATTCCTGATAACGATTGTGTACTTAGAATTTAATTATCTTTAACATTTTTTGATCGATTCCTTCTTATTCAATAAAAACTGTGAACGCCTTAAAAACACAGACCAAATTGAAAGTCCTTTTCCGTCTAGAATCAGTACCATGCTCCAAGTGAACTATTTTGTTAGATATTTTGTCTAGACACTCTTAAGAGTTTGGTTACTAAGAACTAAGACATCCAGTGCAGTTCTCTCGCCTACTAAGAGTATAAAAGTCTATTACTCTGTGAAAGTTGAGAAGCCGTACCTTGACATTTCTGTATTTATTAATTTCCTTTCGATTATCCGAAGTAACTAAAGCATCATAGAGCTATTCTCCTCCATTAAACTTTTCATTATATATTTATTCATTAGATCTTAAACAATAATATTTCAAAAGCTTAGTATGTGATAAATATCCTATGGAAAACGTAGGACTTAAGAGGCTTTCGGCAATAATAAGTACCTCGAAAACGGAACATTTTAGGGATATAAAACGCAAGCCCTTGTATAGTCCCTTCGGTCTTGATATTTTCGTCGAAATCGTTAAAACGCAATTTATTCCATCTCGATCCGTCGAGTTTTGAAACCATCTGACCTTTTAAACTCTCCAATATTTTCAAAACCTTTTAAAATAAAGTTATATGAATCTAAGTATCGAAATTTACTTCTCAATGAAATTCCTTTTCTATTGAAACCTCATTAATCAGGATAGACCCAGGCATAAGAATTTATTTAAACTATCAACGGAAAAGATTTTAAAAGATTTTTTTTTTTTATATTTGCTTTGCATGATTCTACAATTTGGAGCTATTCAAATTATTTTTAGTCGACGTCTCATATCATCGAAGGTTATCAGATCCATTACATGTGGCTGATATCTGGCTTTCAATAGAGATGATTGGAGGTCTCGTAATCTGATTGTAAAACCAAGATATGCCGATAAACTCGGTTTGGACCGCTCAGAATACCACAGTATTGGTATATCATTCCTATGTATTTATATATAGGATATCATATATTTATATATATATCATATGTCACCGTCTGACCGTCTGACCGAATTATACCATAATATTTTACTGTATTTGAAACAAATTTCAACTTCATCGGACAATTAAAAGTAAACTAAAATTTGATGGCAAGATTTTAAAATGAAATAATTTAAAACCAATGATAAGGCTTAGTAAATGTCACCGAAGTTACAGAACGTATTCTAACCGAAGAAGAAAACTCTTTGTAAGAAAGAAATCAGTACGTAGGAAAAAAATATCCCCTAATCAAATATTTAAATTATATAACGCCTCATGTACATAAGAAATCTTGTAAACTTTTAAGGCGCTGCACGTAGATCCCCAAGGTCTTTGGGCGACTGCGTAAATTCACAACAAGAATACCTTACCTCCCTAAGGGAGAAATACTATCAATAAATCAGCTATAAGTCATATTTAAGATTATTATTGATATTACTCGTAGTCAAAGATTTAACTTAAAACATAACATACATTAATAATATTTTTTGAATACAGTTATTTAAATATCCAAAGGCTTAAACTTTTCCATATATTTAACTAATTTTAACAAAAATAGTTTTTGTCCAACTTATACTGCTCCTACTTTATTCCTAATCAGTATTATCAATGGCAAGTTCAGTCAGTATCCTGGTTTCGCTTCTGAAAAAATTTTAAATGCCTCAATGATAATCCGGATATGTCAAAAAATGTCTTTCAATGAAGGTTAGAACCACATTGAATCACAGGCAAAAGCAGGAAGTAGTTCACTTTTGGAGTACCTACGAATGGCCAGGGGGCTTATAATATCAATAAATTGAACAAGATAAACAAATAATCAATAAAATATTGGGAGCAATAGCTGAAAAACTGAGGAGTTTGAAATTAAAATTGTGGGAGTTCTTATAGCAGTATAGTGTGTTTAGAAAGGGCTTATAGATATATAAAGCTACCAACCCTTTCAATTTATATTTGCAGTCTTAAGACATAAAACAATAGTCAGTTACCCCATAACCGTGGATTTCAAGTCGAAAAGTTGAATTTACGATTCATTCCATTTTTTTCGCTTATATCAGTGAAACTATGCGTTCTATCTATAACAATGTCATATGTGAAATTAAAGCTGATAAAATTTGAAATAGAAATGTTTATCAGTTAATTTTTCGTTATATTTGATATTTTCGCTGATATCCGTCCTCGTAACACAATAATTTCTAAAAAAAATTGTTTTGGTCTCCAATTTTTATTATTGCTTGACTCGCTAACTGTTTTCATTTTACAAAAAAGTCATAAAGAAGAAAGTTGTTTAATATTAAATTAGCTTTAAGAATATATATTACTGGCTATCTGATCTTCAACTATTCAAAGGCTAGAGCTATTATAACATAATGATTAAACTCAGAAACAGTAATTTTCGTTATTACACAGCTCTAAAATTGTATATAAGACAACATACATACTACATACATTGGCTTACATATATATACTGTGTTATATACAGATTAAGAGCTGTGTAATATGAAAAGATAAAGTGTTTATATATATATTTTTTTTAAGTTAGTGAATTGCGAACACGGATATGATGGTAACTATCAAATATAGCGAAAAAACTAATATAACCATTTCTATTGCAAATTTTATCAGCTTTAATTTCACATATGACGTTGTTATAGATAGAACGCATAGTTTCACTGATATAAGCGAAAAACCGAAAAAAGTGTTTGAATCGTAAATTCAATTTTTTGACTTGAAAACGACGAGTATGGTGTAACACTAATTTCTAAAAAAAATTGTTTTGGTCTCGAATTTTTATTATTATTTGACTCGCTAACTCTTTTCATTTTACAAAAAAGTCATAAAGAAGAAAGTTGTTTAATATTAAATTAGCTTTAAGAATATATGTTACTTGCCTATCTGATCTTCAACCATTTAAAGGATAGAGCAATTATAACATAATGATTAAACTCCGAAACAGTAATTTTCGTTATTACACAGCTCTAAAATTGTATATAAGACAACATACATATGAATACATTGGCTTACATATATATATACTGTCTTATATACAGATTAAGAGCTGTGTAATATGAAAAGATAAAGTGTTTATATATATATTTTTTTTACGTTAGTGAATTGCGAACACGGATATCACGGAAACTATCAAATATAGTGAAAAAAACAATAAAACCATTTCTATTGCAAATTTTATCAGCTTTAATTTCACATATGACTATGTTATAGATAGAACGCATAGTTTCACTGATATAAGCGAAAAACCGAAAAAAGTATTTGAATCGTAAATTCAATTTTTTGACTTGAAAACGACGAGTATGGTATAACTGACTATTATTTAATGTCTTAAGACTGCAAATACTATTAATTGAAAGGGTTAGGGTAGCTTTATATATCTATAAGCCCTTTTTATATAGGCGCTTACAACCTATGTAGAGCCTCTATCTATCTTCACATGGCCGCCATTTTGTATTCCAGCGGCTATATGTCGGCAGACGTACATTTTCTCATCAGGTCTCTGTATATGGTTAATTTATAACAACAAAACTTTGTATGAAATATGACAACTTTTTTGCCACGTGCTCCAAGACTAGAAGACATCTCTTTGAGCTACCAGAATACTACAATTAGTAGCAAAAATATATTCCATCTATTAAAATCAATAAATGTTATTTTAACAAGAGTATTACGAATATATTACGATGAAACAGGAAGGAAAGAATCCGAAGACTTCTAGGAATGACTGCATGTAGACACGAGGATGTTTAGGCCTGGATGTGAATGATGCGGGTGTGGTAGAGGCCAGATGGCTCCGAGCTGAGTCAAACACGTCTTGAGGCGTCAAAACAATTCCATTTGTTTTTTCCTTCTTCGGATAATGTATCGTTCCACTTCAAAAGAAAATTTTCGAATAAATTAAAAACAAGCGTTAAGTATATATGCCGTGAACGGGTTTAAGTAGATTACAATTTCAAATGAAACTTCATATATACTTCCATCAAAACAGAATTTAAAAACTAATCAACTTTCAGTTTTGTTTTTTTTTGTGCAATATTTACTAATTCTTCCTCTATCCCAAAGGTACATTAGCATACTAAGTTTTATCATAGTTATTTGATACAAATTACGCAATATTTATTACCAAGTTAATTTAATATAAGATAAATGAGATAAAATCCCTTAAAAGTAAAAAAAACTTTAAGAAAGATCTATTAGAGTAATTAAATAAATAAAAATAATTTAGTAAAATACTTTAAAAAATACACATAATTGTATGATAAAAAATAGAATAGTAATATGTATCATTCCTTTGTCATCATAATCTTTTCCATTTCAAATGAAATCCTTACCAATTCAAATATAACTTTTTCCTTTTCAATTATAACCCAACCGGGCACTTGTGGATCCAGAATTTAATTTTTGAGGGGAGGGACTTCAGCCTGATAGCTTTTTGTTTACATGTGTATAACGATAATTATTTTGGAAAAAAAAACAAAGAAATTAGCTCTCTATATGAAATGGTGTTTAAGTGATTCTTAACGTCCTATTAAATGTAATGACACGAACAATAATACTTTAAGAGCTAGACAATTTTTTAATAAAACATGGTTACATTTTACCATTTTGTGGGGGGACTTCAGCCTGAAAGCCTCCTCCCCGTACATCTTCCTGTACAACCGCTAATTAATTGATTCAGAATACTATATTTTACTTATTTTTTAAAAAATAATTATTTTAATTTCAACATCCAAATTTGACAAAATTTCTTCATTTTCTTACCTTTTTTTGTCTGTGTGTGAATTTTATCGATGATATTTGACAGCACGTCCACATTTCGATTTAATTTTACTGTCAAAACTTTCATCGAAGTTCATCACTATGGAAGGGTTTATCTAACTTTTTTTTTAATCTTCAATCTTAATAGTTGAAATTAATACTTGATACCAATTATCCGATAAACGGAAAATGCATCGTGAGAATATGGCGAAATTACCACAATGTGATTGTTGAAATTAAAATAAATATTTCTAAATAAAATATGATATTTTGGACATGTAAGAATTAATTGCTGCCTCTTTGGGTCACGATTGAAGTGGAAGAAGTTAAATTTGAAATGGAAAAAGTTACAATTGAATCAAAAAGTAATAAATATGAAATGAGGAAAGTTACTTGGAATGGAAAAAGTAACAATTGATGTGAAAAAGATTACAATTGACTTTTAAATGCCATATAACCTGAAACGTAGATCGCAACAACTTACACAAATATAATCTAGTTTTATAAAATCGTAGATAAAAAAACAACATAAAAAACGGAAAATTTATAGTAATATATGTATACTATATATATATTATCGAAGAATCGGCTATATAAAAAAATAAATATGAAATGTTCGTTAGTAACCGCTACAAATGTTACTGATGAAACCAAATTCTCATTACATAATACTCGATTAGTAATCTGACTTAAGAATAGAGAAAAGAAATAGGAGAGTCTTATTGTGTATAAAAAGAAGACGGTATATAACGGTCAGATTGCTGAGGTCGCGAATGCTAGCTAGCTGTGGATTGAGGACATGAATCCCTGAAGATCCTAATCATAGCAAGATGTGATAATTTTTAGTATTGTATCGAGAAAATTTTAATTTTTTTAACAGAAACTTATTTCTTCCAGCAGTTCTTAATTGAACGTTTTGAATTTAGGAGTACCTATTTCAACTATATTTTTGTCCTATAAGTTTATTTTATTTTACTTAATTTATTTGTATGTAATGTTTTTTTTCTGACATGCCAACTTTTTTTAAGGCCTTAGATTTTTATTGGAAATAAATAATCTGTACATTGAATAAAAATATACATCAACAAAAAAATATAATTGTTATAAAATATATCATAAGATAAAACAAGATAAGTTTCTGCTAACTCACTCACTTAAAACTAATAAGCTCCTCAGTATTTACCTTAGTACTTTTAAGTACTGCAATTTTTGTATTGCTAATCACAACATCGTCAACTGCTTATTTCAGACCAAAAATTGTCTTAGGTTTTACGTAAACCTGCAATTAAAGAGTGACATAAGTGAATGTACTCTATATAAAAAGCATATATATATTTAACATATATTCTATATAATAAGAATGGGTATTTAAAATTAAAGTATAAAATAAGATCATAAGAATGGGTCATATCTAAATAAGAAGAAATGAACTCGGGATGAACCCTCCCCCACCAAACGGTAAAATATTACCATGTCTTATGAAATAAATATTAAAAACCTATCTCTAAAACTATTAATGATTACATTTAATAAAACTTCAAGAATCGCTTAAACGCCATTTCATATAGGTAATTAGTTAGTTTTGTTTCTTTTTCTCTCAAAGTAATCATCGTTATTTATAAAAAAACTTTTGGGCTGGAGCCCTCTCCCAAAATTCAATCCTGGATCAACTAGTGAGTGGTGGAGAAGGCAATAAAGGTGTGTTGGAATGATGCAGTAAAATATGCAGGTGCATAAAGGTCAGATTGCTGAGATCATTAACGCTAGCAATGGATTGAGGACTTGAATTGAATCTAGAATTAAAAGTCCCCCCTCCAGGCAGCGCTGATGATAACTTGGCAGAATGGAATGCCGTTTGTTTGAAAACTTAGATTCATTGACCATCTCAAAGAGAGTGATAAACCCCATGGCTCTGAGTGCTCTTAAAGGTCCAGGAATGCATCACCTCTCCAAAAAATACATTTTCTTTTGACTCGTCAAAATCCTTCGTTCCAATCGGAAAAAGGAACTTTACTATTATCTATACAATTGGTTATTTATACTACCAATATAGTGGCAATTTTGTTGGAATTAACTTATGTATTTTTATTACATGATACATAATCCAAAATTATTTTTGGGTTTTATTGTGTATCCGGTTGCAATAACTGTAAATGCACTCCTAAATAGATAACAGTGACCGACATGCTTTTGCATTGTTTTGTTTATTTTTCCATCCAAGATCTAACAGAGGATGTAAGTAGCAGCAAATTATCTATAAGCTTTTTAAATGTAATTGTTTAGAATTTATCAAACAACGTAGTATAATATAGTGTACTCCCAATTAAACAATACAAGTCTATTCTTGTAGGAATTAACATTATAAAAATTAAAAAAACAACTTAGATTGTTCACAACCACACCCGCTTCCGGAATGTATATTATACTGAGCAGTTTCGAGGAAGTTGTACCAACATAAAGTCGATTTCTTATTAATTCTAGAAGTCGTTCTAGAAACAAAATTACCCGTGTCTGAAATATTTATTTATTCAAGGTTTACTGTGTAGTCTCTTATACATTAACAATACCATGATTTCTAATGTTTTGATGTCCACTGAATTTTCCTTGTTCATCACTATTGTCTTCTAGGGAATTTTTCTGAATATTGAATACGCTGTTTTCAAAATGTCAGAATGTCAACATGAACGAAACAAGAAAAACTACTCCATGTGAGCCATCCAGGTTATTGCAGGACTATTATAACGGTACGTATAACAGGACTGAGGGGGGAAAGTGATTAGCATAAATCCGAAATGTGAACACGTATTCCGAAACAATAAGTTTTTTTAAACTGTCATCAATGATTCATTTCTTTTTGAGTACTTTTTTTATTTCTCTATCTTGATATTGCTCTTGAAAGCTTGCGATATGAGAACTTTTATAGAGATACTATTTATTCCATATATTAATTGTTTTATTAATAATAGGATTGTGTTGTATGGCGTAATTATTCTTCTAAAAATTAAATTACATTTATAAGAATACCTAAATGTACCTCTTCCATATTCCTAAGTTTTGAAACTGGGACTCCTAACAGAATATGAAAGTAGATCTTTCATCCGATTCCTTTTATGTTTTTCTATTGGGTAAAATTATGTTATGAATTTTTAAAGTTGTTCTTCCCACTCACGAAAATCTCTCCACCTTAAACAGTAATGAAGGAATAATATATTCCGGTTTCTCCTGTTCTAAATGAAGAGTTTTCATACAGGTTCTCGACAGATACTAATCGAAAATTCTATATATAAAAAAGTAACTTTTCCATTGAATGACTATTATTATTTTTTTAATGATTGGTGCTGAATAAAAAAAAATCTGGTGTGTCCGCTCACACTACTTTCCTACCTATTTCAGAAAAGTTTTTACATCTTTACATATGTCCATATAGAAACAAAAAAAAAATTTAATTAGATTTATTTTCATGAAAATTGATCCAAAGAAAAGATTTCAGTACGATTTATTTGTTGAACTAATAAGTGTAAAAATTTCAATACCCTCTAATATTACTGATCAAAAACTTTTTGCCTTATAGCCTAATTTTGTCAAACAATAATTTCTGTTTAAAATAGTGAAGCTTGTGTGATGAGGGCAACAGATTTTCTTAATTTCACTTAATTATGTTTTTGCTCATTGGTAATTTAATCGTTGGCAGTTTAATTACCTTTCAAAAGTTTTATTATAAATTTTAACATAGAGCATACACTTAGCGAGTTAGGTCCCAAAACATTTTTCTTTTCTTTATAACTTTTTTTGCTGATTTTTTTTTCGGGAATTTAGTCCATGTACAAAAATTGAAAGGACAATTGTTAGAACATTATAGGAAAGTTTCATCAAAATCGTTATAGCCGTTTTTGCGTTGCAGTCTATAGAAAAATATATTTTTCATTTATTGCGCAGCAGCTATTGCGCATAGAGCATCCGTCTGTCACAGGCATCA